ATATATATATATATATATATATATATATAATGTTATTGGATATTCAAAAATTATTCTAAATCAATTCCCTCCATCTATAAACTCCTAAGGATATAATTATAACATCTAATTTCTCAAATCATCATATAAATCTTTTCTTTAAATTCAAATTGAACTTATATATTTAAAATTATCTTTGACATTCAAACATATTAAATGATTTGATTCAACATCATATTTAAAATTTATTTTTCAATTTCAATCTAAATTAATTAAAAAATAGTGATCAATTCATCAAATCATAACTAAATCAAACCATCAAACATTAAAAAGTAGGTAAAATTTATATATAAGAGAATGAGTATAAAGAATTAGGAAATGTTATGTTTAATCTCATTACAAGATTTAAGAAATAGTGAACATAAAACTGAATCAAAAAGATTGTCTGAGCCCAGGTTCGAACTGGGGACCTCTAGTGTGTGAGACTAGCGTGATAACCAACTACACCACCCAGACACCGCTGTTACACAATTTTCAATTACTTAATTGATATAAAACAACTGGTTAAAGGGTAATCCCAATAAACAACTTAAAATAAAAAACCAAGCAGAGATAGATATAGTAAAATATGGATTTGACATTGATAATTCTGGTATGGGTTTTAATTAGATTTTAGTACACATTTTATCACCAATTTATTGAATGGTAGATAAAGGAATATAAATTAGATTTGACACTAGTTTGCCCATTCACTTTTGAAACTGATGCGTTCAGACATGGTAATTAACATTATATAGATTATATTATATACAAGAGATTGTGGAAGATAGCAATACAATATATCTAACACAAAAAATGATCATGTATGGAATAATGAGAAAAAAATGTATTATTTCATAATACTAACGAAGCTTTTAACATACTTATATAGTGATTAATTTATAATTAATAGCAAACTGTTCCTAAGCATTCATACTTGAAATAAGAATTTGAGTATTTGCAGAACTCCAGTTTTTTTTTCCCCTTCTTTTATTAATTTGGTTTTTTAGAAAGTGCAATTGGGTTTCAATATGTTTATGTTTATTTCTACCATGTGTTATTGGACTTTTGACCAAACTTATTGTTCACTTGTTGTCCACTGTCAACAAAATGCTTTCCTCAATCCTTATCTTTAATTCTTCAAGCAAAGTCCTTAGCAATAGAACTTGGCAAGCACCCATACTAGCAGCCGTGTACCCAATCTCACAAGGAGACCAAGCCACAATATATTGTTTTCTTGAACACTAAGAAATTGGAGCATCTTCAATTATGAATGCATTGCTTATAGTGCTTTTTCTTTCAATCTTATTTATACACCGATCAATATCAGAATATCCGACCATACCCTGATCAGAGGCTGCAAAATTTGTTAGGAAACATTAAACTATAACATATTGTTCTCTTAACATACCTGAGCAACCTCTCAATAACAAGCAAATAAAATTGTTTTAGTGCCTTTATGTACTGCTAACAAGCCTTATATATACACTATCTTAGACACTTATCCCAAATCATGCTTTCAATTCAGATAGAACTGAAAATCCGGTTGCCCATTCCAACAAAAACAACAAAGACTAAGCAAATCTAACAGAAGGGAAATCAGAAAGACATGAAACAGGACTAAGATTTCCAGGTCAAAATTAATTTGCAAATAGAGCACCTCTAATCCTAAAGAACCAAGAAGGCAAAATTTCCATTACTCCAATGAAACAAGCAACGTGGCGACAATTTCCAGGAGAGAGAGCTCAAACACAAATTTATCAAGTGACTGAACTGCACGAAAAACAGAATCCTGCTCCACAAGCTTTTCTACCCGGGCAGAGCACAGCACACACATAATGGCATAAGAAACACAATGGAAAAAGAAAAGAAAATTGTAGAATCTTTGAGTCATCGAACCATTGCTGCCAACGGTGAATGTTAATCTAACAGGTAAATAAAAGAGGTAGAATGCTTGGAGAAACAAAACACACAAACTTATCATTCAAATAATAAAAACAGATCATTTATAGTCATTTACACTGAAACAAAAAGATTTGGATCACACGTTGGAGTGTGATTTCTAATTTATTGGACCTACCCTACATAATAAGAGAAAGTTCTGCAACAATAAAAAACATAACAAATAAACAGAGAAAAAAACCCTTCAAAAAACCTGACAATCCCTCTCTTAAACTAATGCATCTACACTAGTTATTCCAATCAAAGTATGAAGCCTTTAAAACTGGTCCAACTTTAGGGGTTTTGTCATAATGTCTGCTAACTGATCTTGAGAGCTACAAAAGCTTAGCTTGACTGCTCCATCATTCATCAAGTCCCGAAGAAAGTGAAACTTTATATCTATATGTTTGTTTTTTCCATGAAATACTGGGTCTTGGGACAGTTGTATTGTAGAGCTATTATCACACAAAATCTCAACTTCAGTCTTATTTTTAAGCCCAATCTGTTCTAACAATCTTTTAAGCCAAATACAATGACAAGCACATAGAGATGCTGCTATATATTCTACTTCTGTTGTAGATAAAGCTACCACATTTTGCTTCTTGGATGTCCACGAAATTGTCCCTATCCCTAACATAAACACATACCCAGAAGTTCTTTTTCTATCATCCAAGTCTCGAGCATAATCACTTTTTGAAAATGCTAGTAGTCTTAAACTGTTAGTCCCCTTCTTGTACAGATTCCAAGGCCAGTTGTTCCTTGGGATATACCTCATAATTCGTTTTGCTGCCAGCCAATGTGTTGTAGTGGGATTAGTCATGAATCTGCTGAGAAAACTTAATGTGTACATTAAATCTGGTCTGGTGGTAGTCAAATAGATCATACTTCCAACTTGTTGTTTAAACAAAGTTTCTTCAACACTGTTTCTCTGAATTCTGTCAGACGAGAGTCCCTAGCACCATGGGATTTTTCACATCCTTGTTGTCCTGCATCAAGTGTTGATTTTTCACTGTTTTCACTTATATCAACATCAACTATTGTGTTTTCTACTGCAATGTCATTTTTGTCTTCATAAATTATCTCTTCTTGCTGAGTTTTTGGCTTCAAATTTCTCCAGTCCCAACTTTCCTTCTCCTCAAATTACATCTCTGCTAATGATCACAGTTTTTGGGACTGGATCATATAATCTCCATGCTTTAGACTCATCACTAACGCCCAGAAAAATATATTTTCTACTTTTGTCATCTAGCTTCAGTCTTTTCTGGTCTGGGATATGTGCATGGGCCACACACCCAAAAATTCTGAAATATTTCACCACTGGTTTCCTGCCGCTCCAGGCTTCTTCTGGAGTAACATCCTCTACAACAGTTGTTGGGCATCTGGATATGCACACACCATTTGACAACTTCTAGCTAGAGCACCTTGGGAACATGCTTCTCATTTAACATAGAACAAACTGCATTCATAATCATTCTATTTTTTCGTTTGATTACACCGTTTTGCTGAGGAGTGTATGAGGAGTGTAAGGGGTGGTTAACTGTCTTCTAATGCCTTCTATGTGACAAAATTCTTCAAACTCATTAGAGAGAAACTCTCCACCTCGATTTGTATGTAAGCAGAGTATAGGAACTACTGCTTCCTTCTCAACTTGTCCCTTGAACATCTTGAACTTTGCTAGTGCTTATGATTTTTCATGCAAAAAATATACCCAAGTCTTCCTAGTGAAATCATCAATGAAGCTTAGAGAGTACCTTTTATTGTTGTGTGAAGCTGGATGGATAGGCCCTCCGAATATTTGTAGAGTTGAGATGCTCTCCAGGTCCCAGTAAGGGTACTTATACTGGAAATGCCCTAACCTATGACACTTGAAACACTCAATGGTGGCCTTGTTGAATGGTTGTCTTTCTCTGCCTCTGCCACGCCTGCCTATAAACCCACCACGGCCTCTGCCTCTGCCAGGCTTCTCCTCTTGAGTGCTTCTGCTACTGGTGTGCTCATGGGTTGCTTTGAGCACATGTTCTTCCTCTTGTACCTCGATCATTCGTTGCTCATGCACCAATAGACTCGTATGTAACTCATCAATGGTGAGAATATTAATGTTATTTGACTCCTCTATAGCGCAAACGACATAGTTGAATTTAGGGATTAGAGATCTCAATATTTTACTCACCACAACACTCTGTTCCACTGCTTCTCCATTGGACTTCATTTTACTCACTATAGTCATGGTGCGGCCTAGAAAGTTGTCCACTTTTTCTCCTTCTTTCATGATGAGTAGCTCAAATTCTTTCCTCAATGCTTGAAGTTGTGCGTGTTTCACTCTAATAGATACCTGGTACTTCTGTTTTATAGAGTTCCAAATTTCTTGTGATGTACTTTTGTCAAGAATAGTCTCGAATATTTCCCTATCAATGGATTGATAGAGAAAATTTTTGACCCTCAAGTCATTGAATTCGGCTGCCTCCACAACTACCTTTTGAGCCTTACCACTGGATCCTAAACCAATTACAAGTGTAGGTATACCAACCTCCACAAGACTCCATAGCTCCTTGCTCCGAAGGAAATTCTCCATGGTCATTGCCAAAAAGTCATAATGACCATCAAATTTGGAAATGGAGGGTTGCACAAACTCAGGGATTGTCATCTTACTAAGAATGAAAAAAATCACTCACTCACGGATTGGATCAGGCCCTTTACAGAGCTCTGATACCAATTGTTAGTCTAACAAGTAAATAAAAGAGGTACAGTGCTTGGAGAAACAAAACGCCCAAACTTATCATTCAAATAATAAAAACAAACCATTTATAGTCCTTTACACTGAAGCAAAACGGTTTGGATCACCCGTTAGAGTGTGATCCCTAATTTATTGGAACTACCTTGCATAATAGGAGAAAGTTTTGCAACAACAAAAAACATAACAAATAAACAGAGAAAAAACCCTTTAAGAAAACCTGACAGTGAAGATGCAGAGATCACAGTAAGTGGTGATATAAGAGTAAATTTTGGTAGGGGATCATGCAAGCAGACAACAAAGGAGCCACAGTTTGTAAATTCAGTTAATTGTAAACAAATAATCTAACACATCAACCAGTTCTCAGTCACATAATAACTTTATGGGATGGTGCTGTTGTATAGATAAACCACCGATTAGATGGTTCACTCTAGAATTCATCACAGAACGAAAACAAAATAATTGTCCTGACCATGCATTAAAAACAAGACAGAACTAAAAAGAAAATCACAAGTCCTTTGCCCTTTTGGCTATTTACAATTTAGATTTGATGGCTGAATTTTCAGAAATAACTTTCCTCATTAGGCCTTCTTGAACCGCTGATACAAGAAGCTGCAAGTTCCCAAACGGAAAAACCTTTAGACAAAATGAACCAGGGAAAAGAGGAAAAACTAATGCCGGAAAAAGTTAGTTCATGCATTAATCGCATATTCGACTAATTTAACCAAATAAAAACTGATAAAAAAAATTAATGGTTAAGCTTACTGAAATAAAGTAATAAAAACTTATTTAATAAGTTTTACTGGGAATCCTCATTTAACCAGCTAGAATATTGAAAGGTCATGTGTTACGGTATAAGGTAGAGGGTAATAATAAGGTTTGGAAAGTATATGAGAGAAGGAATGTAGGAGGGAAGTGAGGCCGAACGGTATTGACCATAAAGGTCGAACGGTAGTCGAATGGTGGAAGGCGTGGAGAGGTCTAGCCGAACGGTGGAAGGTGGTGAAGAGCGGGAGCCGAACGTAGGAGGCAAGGGGGAAACAAGCCGAACAGAGGAAGGCGAGGAGCGAAGCAAGCCGAACGGTGGAAGGCGGAGAGAGGTCAAGCCGAACGGTGGAAGGCATCGAAAGGTCAGGTCAGGCCGAACGGTGGCAGGCGGTGAAGAGCTGGCGCCGAACGGTAGGGTGCAAGGGAAGCAAAGCCGAACAGGAGCTGGACCTAATCGGTTGAAGAGTGACTATCCTAACTGGGACAACAGTTAGGATAGGCGGAAAATATTTAGAAATAATTATAATAAAAAAGAATATATATTAGGGAAATATTTTATTTAGAACAATATTCATATTTTATTCTAGGGAAAGATTTTATTCTAGAAAAATATTTTATTTAGAACAATATTCATATTTTATTTTAGGGAAATATTTTATTTAGGAAATAATTAGTATAAATAAAGGGAGAGTCTAGGGTTAAAGGTATGCTTTTGATTATTGAGTTTTGTTGACAGGTGGTTATGCGCCCTGTGAGGGAGGTTATGCTCCCAAATAATTAACAGAGATTATGCTCCCAATTATTCATTCATTATCATTCGTTTATTGTTCTGTTACGTGTTGTGAGAGTGTGAGAGATTGTATTTGGCTAGTTTACGTACTCAGATACGTAACATCATGACTATTTTGTAGACCCAAATATGTTCTGTACAAGTTAAATATATCGAACTTTCCTGTGTTAAAAATAATTTAACAACCCCCAGTTTGAAAAAAGTTAAATGAGATGTTTAAAAGTTGAAATACATTGATTTTAACATACACAGATATAATACATTAATATTCATTTTGTTAGAGGAAGTTGGTTTCACAATATAACTTCACATTCCCAAGAATTATATTCCTAAAAATATTATGCCCAAAAATATATTACCATAGACGTGTTTGACTGTTAATCATCTAGTAATTTTAGACAAAAGAAATACATTAAAGTTACTACGTTAAAAATTAAAAGCGAAAGAAAAGTAGAATGTAGTGAGGATGAGTAGTTATTTGTTATAATAACTAGTGGAAAGGAAATATCCACCTTCTTTTAGATATTAACAGCTTAAAATGTTAGGGTATAATTCTCGAGAGAATAAACATTGGTGATATTATATTTTCATGGTCTCTCAACTAAAAAATTATATTTATTCTCATCCCCATTTTTCTGGAAACAAAAGAAGATAGCTTAAACAAGCACCCTCTCATTTTTTTTTTCTCATGAAGGTGTTCAAAAGGTTTATCTAACCAAAACCATAGTTATATCATCAAAATTTATATATTCTTCAATCTGTCTTCTCCCCAACCCCTCTTGCACGCATGCATATAGGGGGCATATTTATTGAGAACGTGAAATAAATAAATATTGATCAAACAACCAAACATGGATAATCAAGAGTGTGTAGACAAAGTGATGTGAAGAGATAATCCCTTACCTCTCCCTTTTGATTGAACATTTGGCCAGTAACATAGCCCCGGGCATTACAGGAAGTAGGACTGAAGATCTGTAAAACAAATTGAACGTATTAACAACTTCACGGAATGAAAAAAAAAAGAATTTTGGGGAAAAGTATTTTTTAATTTATGAAAAATGAACTAATTAGATAGTTAATGATGTTCAAAGAGTGGTTAACGAGTAGCCACTTATTCGCGGATTGAATGATTTATTGTTCCTAAAAATATTTTTAATAAGAATTTTGTTGTTTTATCTTTCCTAAATAATGAAAAACTTAACGGTACTCACCACAAATAGAATCCAGTCATCGGCTCTTAAAGGTCTGTGAAACCACATGCTGAAATAAAACCAACAAAGCATTAAACAAAAAATAAGAGAGAATATTTATAATCGTAGCTCGAAAACTTGTATTTTTTTTTCAAATTATGTTATTGATACTAGCAACAACTTATTAGTTGAAAACTTTTAGTTTGTCTCAGTGTTATGTTACTATACTCCCTTCTACACCAAAAAACATGTTAATTTACGCTGTCTGTTTCACAGTGACTGTAGTTTAAGGTCATTTCAGACAAACAACAATAAATATACCACTTTAAACAATTTTACTAAAATAGCATCATTCTTTTAGCAAATGCATTACTTTTGACTGAGATGAAGGGTGTAATTAATTTGAAGACAAATTAGGATGAAAAAAACTAATGCATCATTGGAAGGTGAGTAAATAAATCAATTGGAAAATTTTAGATGACTAAAACTATAGTCGTTGTGGGACGGAAGAAGTACAAATTAAACATTACACTCCGATACTTACGAGTGGTCCAGACTCACAGCGCGTGTCTTCATGCCCTTCCTACGGTTGGGATTCAAACTCACTTGAAGAAAGATTAGATCTGAAGTATATGCTACCACACACCTGCAACACAAAACCCGATTCACTTACTATTAGATATAAAAGCAAGCACTGAAGAGCTTTCACTACAAAAGCGTTAATAAGCTTTTGGACTAGTTGATCTTGATATGGTACTAACCCACTATGACCATCAATCAATAAAAAAGAACCACTATGCACAATAGGTCATTAATTTCATCATTGCCTCTCTCATTCTTCTAAGTGAGAGTTGAATTTCGGTAAATTAAAATGGCCCTATGCATTGTGTCTCAAACTCTCCAAGCTTGGTCTTTCTTACTACATAAGTTTTCCTTTTCCCAAGACGACACAGAATTTAACAGAACTTCAGTAACAAGCTATCCAAGGAATGCAAGCCTTAGCACATCAATAAAAGCCCTCCTAGCTCATCCATACGCCAATTTCACAAAGAACTGGACATATTTAAAGGTAAATAGAAATTATGTACCTATGCAAGGCCTGATCATCTGAAAGTTTTCCCCTTGCTCTGAACCAGTATCTCAAACTGCAGTCAAAATTTTAATAAGATATTATAATATGCAGCATTAAAGTCCCATGACATTAAGTCTTCAAAAATGTTTTACGGAGAAGGCAAAGGATTGAATAATGATGTCTCTCGAATGGTACACCAATCCTTTCTCTTCTCTCTCCAAATCTCTGTCACCAACGTAGCATATAAGACCAGTAAAAAAGCCCAAGCACAAATTGACAGAGTATCAAGCTAACCTAGGGGGAGATTTGGTCTGATTTGTTGAAGTTCTAGGTTCACAGAACCGTATCTCTATGGGCCAGGGAATGAATTCAACTGTAGCAACCTTGTTCCGGTAAGTTCTGAAACAACAATTTTATAAGTTATTAAGGCAAAAAAAATCTTCATACAGTCTTCTTAGGAGCAGAACCAAATAAAAAGTAAAATAAAAAACTGTAGCATCAAGCATAATATGCTAGATAGTAATTACTACCTTGGAAGGCGAGGGTCGGTAAGACGTTGCTCCCGAAGCTCTTCCAAAGACAAAAGCTATATAACAAAGAACAAAATATGACAGTCTAATACCCAAAACTGTTTTTATGAATATAAGTTAGTCACTTGCCTTATCTGGTGTAGGGACTGATGGGATGGACACTTCCTGGTGGTGAAACCCTAATTCCTCCTTCTGTAGAGTTAGAATAATAACAAAGTTAAATGTGCTCCTGAATTTCTAGAATAATCATTGACAACAGCAAGAGCATATATTCATGTTAAAAGATCATACGTCAATCAAAATGAAAACGGCTTAAAGAATGCTTCATTGTATGCTATATTTTGTAATCATTAAAAACTAATACTAGAACAGCGAAACTTACCATAGATTCATATTCCTCCAAATATTTCCAATGCTAGATAGCATTTCATGTACTAAGTTAATATTGCATCGACATACCTACTACTCCTAACAGTAATAAAACCTTAATGACCATAACCCAAATAAATATAAATGCTTGTCATCCCAAAATCACTGATGGTATTCCACTTATGCATCGGTGTTTTATTGCATCAATGACAAGGATGCCATGATATATAGTTGCACTGGCTCAGTTGTCCCTCAGTTCTCCAAATGGCATTTCATCTTTTACTTCCATATTATACAAGCACGGATGACAACAGGTTGAAGTGGGAAGGGAAAGTACTTTCTTACTATCTGCCCCATCTAAAAATATTCATTCCATTAACTGCCTCACTACCTCTAAGGTATCTACAAAACAATATGTATAGTATGAAATATGGACCGAGCCGTTATTGAATAAGGCCGATCGGTCTATCCACCATTGGTCAACCTGGTCAAATGGTTTGGGCCGTAATTAGGCCTACAGCACTAATAAGCCACTTCAAATGGTAATTGGGCCAGCGCTTAAGTTGTTACTGGGCCAATAGTCCAGTGGATGATAAAATAATTAAAGATATCTGGTTAAAGATATTCGATAAACCAAATCCAAAATATTTGGTTGAAGATATTGATAAAGTCGTTTATGGGTAACTAACCGGATCTCCAGGTAAGATTGTTTTTATTTGATCTATGAATCACTTATAAATACATTGACAGGGCCAAAAGCCAGGTACGTTCCATCCACGTTCAACTGATACTTCATAACACCCAAACATTCAGTAGTGATAATCCTTCACTAAATACTCAACCAAGAGCCGAGGCTCTTCAAATCACACGCCTAACTTGAACGTCGGAGTATCTTTTGCAGGTACCTCCCCCTCGGAGCACGAAGGCAACCGATCGGCCAAGACTGGCGTGACCGAACGGCCCAGACAGAAATCAACCGAACGGCTCCGACAGCAGAAAGGCAAGCAGCTCAAGCGATCCCAGCTTTCGGAAGGAAGAAAGACGCATCAGAACAGGTTAGTCTCTCGGTCCCATAAAATCCTACCGAAACACAATACTTACATATCTTCTTTAGTATAAGTGGGTGGATACACGCAGAAATATTTTTCTTTTTTATATTTTCTAAATTTTAAATAAGATTATTTAAAAATAATTCCTTAAAACTAAGATAAAAAAATAGTTTTAAAGCATAATTCAAATAAAACTATATAATAAAATATTAGTGCAAATAAATTTGGTCTGTCTAGAAAACAAATTTAAATAAGTTGCACCACAAAGTTTAAGTTTTAAACAAATAATATTTTTAAAAACAACTTCAATTTCATAGATATAAATTATATATAAATATCTAAAATTCAACTATAAACAATTCTTTCATGGTTAAAACTTCTCTCATCAATAACTTTGTTTTGATCACTTAATTCTTTTTCCTAAAATATCCAAAAGAAATCACTAACAATGACATGCAGATAACATGATTTAGTAGGTTCGATATTATAGTCGTACCTACCTCATCAACAAACGAACAATTAAAATACTCATACCCATTATTTGTAAGTATCATTGAAGATATTCATTTAGTATCCATTATAGATTTTACCCCTAGATATTCGCTTGTATGAAATATTGTGTCATCCTTGCAAATATTAAACTAATGAAAACCAAATGATTAACCTTAATATGCAATTAAGAATCATAACCGAAAATACATAAAATAGAGACAAAACATTACTTAACCAGATTCAGAGCTAAATAAACAGAGATTTTGTCTTATTCCAAGTCAAGAAAAATGTGGAATTGAGAAATACATGAAATGAAGCCAGCAAAGTGAATATGACGTTTCCCTTTTGAATTGCATCCACTTTCCTAGTAGCAAAACTCTTCCCATCACGGAGACGGCTAACTTGATATATAATGGGTACTGGAAGACAAAAATTTACAGCACAAGTGTTATCAACGGCAAGCCAGAAGTCCACAAAGAAATATGGTAGATGGTATTGCGGTTTGTTGCAGAATGCATGCCGGAAGAAATAAAAATACAATATGTACATATAGTTATATAAGAATGCCAAAATAAATTTTCAATGAAGAAATAAAAAAAAACAGCCACATAACTAACAACAATAGCAAGTTAAAACCTTCAAATAACAGTAAAATGATTATAAAACACCAAGTTTAACACTTCAAATAATGATAAAATGATAATAGTGAGTAGGATGAGCTACTTGGTACTTAAGCCATAAGGCTTTTCTACGTAATGGACTAATCTTTTGAGTTAGCAATTGGCTTTTTTATTGAGAGTTGGGCTACGAAAAGATGATAGAAGCCCTCCCATGGAGAAAGGTGCTACTGCTGAGTTAATATCAATAGAGTGAAGCCTTCATAAACATCAATCCTTAAATAGGGTGGCAATGTTAGAAGTCCCACATTGATAGGATGATGAGGGTGTATGTTAGGAGAAAGAAGAGTATGTGAGTAGTTAGTTGCATTAGCTGGCCTAACTGTCTGACAGTTAGGAAAGGGGAACACTTATTGTTGTATAAATAGTTAAGGAGAATAAGGGGAGGGGATTTTTTGACTGTTCGTAGTTTCTAAAACAGGATTTGGTTATCCTTGTTGGGGAAGTTTAAGCTTCCTTTGTTCTTCCTATTCTTGCATTCTTTCTTGAAAGTCAATAATATCAGAGGTTATACATACTTTCTGTACTGTTTCCGAGAGTTGTTGAGTGAGAGATAGGAATTCTTTAACAAGAAACCTATCAATTTGGTCCGACCTGCCGGATTCCAAATTTTGCGAGAAGTGAACGAAGATGGAGAACCATACCGATGCGAGACTGGAGGCAATTGAGATCACGATGGAGGGAATGAAGGCTGAGTCAGCGGCTGTACGACGAGACTTGCAGCAAATTATGAGGGTCTTGGGTACGAGCGTTAATCCACCGGAGGGGAGTTCTGATGACAGTTCGGTGAACGACAACAGACACCGAGTCGTGGGGGAAAATGAGAATGGAGGGAATGGAAACAGAGGCGAGGAACAAAAGCCGTGGCGGAAAAGGATTGAATTGCCGACATTCGATGGAGACGAGCCTTTGAGTTGGCTCAACAGAGCGGAAAGGTTTTTCGACATTCAGAAGGTGATGAGCGATGAAGAC